TAGCTCCTCAAATTTAAAATTGTTATTTAATTTTTAGTCCTGTAATTTTCAAAAATCTTGTTTTAATCTCTTAGTTCACTAATAACGTATTTGAAAGTGGCTAATTAAGACAATTATGCAATATCAACTGGATATAATGTCATATTTTCACTAATAGAGATATTAATAAGTAGAGATACTAATATAGTCTCTTAGAATAATTTTTTTTGAAATTATATGGATTAAAAATAATAATTTTAAATTTAAAAGACCAAAAATAAATTTACCCTAAATTTGAGAGACTAAAAACATATTTAAACCAACAAATATATATAAATCTTAAATCTAGAACACGAATCCATTATTTAGCCTGTGTATAGAAGAAAGAGTCATGAATATGCATGGCCTCCATTTAGTTATACCAATTGTTTGCTACTTTGCTTATAAGTTCATAAAGGTATAGTACATAAAAGTTATACACTTATTTGTACGGCATATATAAGGTGGCTATAAACAATGTTAAACCGTAAAGACAAATCATATAAGTAATGGAGTATCGATTCATTGACGCAGTACAACCAAACGGCTCTAGAAAACAAAGTTGGAATTTATGCTCTTGTACTTTACCAATACTCATTAAACATTTTAGCCCACTTCATCTCTTGGGCTACATGATACGCCCAAAGACCAGGCTTATGAAATTCGACACTTTTTTTTTTAATCTTTATACCTGCATTTAAAAAAAAAAAAAGAATTTCCTAATTTCTTATGAAATATAATTTCTGTTGTATCTTAACACGATATTGTCAAAACACACAACAGAAAATAATATCAGTTGAGTATCTTAATAATTTCCATTGAGTATCTTTGACAAAATCGTATCATAATACATAATAAAGATTAATTTTCATTGCATTGCATTGCATTACAGAAACTAATTTGTGTCACATGGGGACCGTGAAAAAACGGGTGGGAGGAGGTGCCTGGAGAGGAGGAGGAGAAACAAGTGCCCAAAAGTAGAGGAAAGAGGAAGGGAAGAGATGCGAAGAAGAGAGGAAAATAATGAAATTTAATTATATAAATTAAAAAATTAAACAAGTTGAGGGAGGAAAACTAAAAAACAGCGTTAATATATTTTATAAAGCTATATTTTTTATCAAAGCAATACGATTTAATTTTATTCATCAGATATATATTTTATAAAAAAAGTTGTGATACAAGAATTCATTATTGATATTATTATATTATAAAAATAAGGAAATAAATACTAAAATAATTAAAATAAATTAAATCTAAATATTTGTATCAAAATAGATTTTATTTCTTAAGGATATTTAGACATATTTTCAACAATTCTCCTTAGTTAAATATTTTTATCATTTAATTTGAATTAAAATTTATTTTTTCTCTTTTTGCTTTTTTTCCCCCCTTTTTTTGTGGTTTTTATTGTAATTTTTTTTCTACATTTCTTTAGCATTTATTTCAAACTTTTCTTTTGAACGTGATTTTTCATTTTTTGCATTCTCCTTCTCCTCATTTTTTATGAAAACATACATCTTTGTGCTCTTTACTTGTATATTCATTTATAATTGATTTCTCCTTCACCAAATTTAAAAGCAAAATTTCTGTCCTTCATATGAACATTGAACACTTCTTTATTGTTTATGTATTTAATCATACAATTTTTATCTTCAAATAACATTGTTAATTTGTAACCTTTTTCAACAATTGAACAACATTCAATAAATTTTGCTTAATATAAAATATTAGAAATATTAATTTTAAACTTGAATAACTTTTAATAACAATTGTTTCTTTGCTTTTTTACCGCAAAATGTGCTTCATTCCCCATTTTAACTTTAAAGATATAAGTTTTGTTGTGTTCTTTAAATAATTATTGGTTATAAGTCATATGTCAAATGGGTTTTACAACCACTATCAATGAATTGATCTTCTTTCTCTTCTTGTTGATTTTCCGCAATGTTGACTTCTTCTAGTTTATTTTTAGCAATGTTAGTTTCTTTTTGTTGTTCATGAAATTTGCATACATTTTTTACATGTCATAATTGTTTAATTACACTTTAACTATTCCTTATTCTTATTTTTGTCACAATTGTTGTTCTTCCATTTGGCTAAATAAATACTCTCCACAATTTCTTCTTGTCTCATAAGCCTCATTTGTTCTAATGCTCGTCTCATAAGCCTCCTTTGTTCTCTATTCTATTAATTTAATTTAATCTAATTTTAAAAGAAAATAAAATATTTTTTATCTCTTATTAACTTCGTTATCCAACTCATTTCTCTCTCTTATTAAATTCATTATTTAACTCAAATCTCTCTCACCTCTAATGATGACCCCCCCTCTCTCTATTTGAACAAATAAAAATTAATTAATAGAAGAGGGAAATGAGTTGGAAAATAAAGTTAATAAGAGAGAGAAAATATTTTTTTAAAAAATAAATTAAATTACTATAATACCCTTTATATAAATTAATAAAATCAAAAGAAATAAGTGATTTTCTTGTCCTAAAATTTTGGTGTAGGTTGCTAACGTATTCCAGTTAAAAAATAGGTGGGAGTATGTTAGCAGTCCCTATATATATATATATATATATATATATATATAGGGGGGTTCAAACCACACCGGTGTAA